CTATGAATGTAAAGACTGAACTTCTGAATAAAATATTTTTGATTTTTTGATTTTTTGAATATATCAACTAACATGATCATAATTTTGCGAAAATAGCACTTAAACATTTTATCATTGTTTTTGATAGTTTGTTCTAAAATTTATTTGTAAAGTGAAAACTTTTACTGTAGTTACCTTAGGAATGATGAATTGTTGTGATTTATTACTTAATTTCCCAAGAACAATCCATTTTACAAGTAAATTTTAGAACATAGTATCAAAATAACGAAAAAATCTTTAGGTACCATTTTTGCAAAACTATGATCATGTTGATTGACACGTTATTGCTGTATAAATAAGCATCCAATTTCGATTGAACGTGGTGTGCACCAGGGGACTAGATTTCTTTTATCTCGTCTATCGGTTGGTCTTTCACAAAATTAGTTATTACATCGAATTATGTGCCAAAAATTTTTCGTTTTAATTAGCAATGTCGTTATTACAGTTTGCGTCACGTACGGAGCAAGTCTGGTGGGCCGCTTTCGAATTGTAACCTTTGCGAAAATAACCAATACCCACTTCGTGTAGGTTCTCCATGCATCTTACTGCTGATGATGTCATATTAATTCTGATTGCATGTAAATACAGTTATGCGTGATAATTGAAGTAACATAATGCAATTCGCTTTTCCAGAATTAACGTAATTGTTAGTCAGTCCAATTGTTTTCGACAATATGCACTAATTCAATCCAATTATCGTGATATTGTCCCATGATTTTCACAGAATGGGTTAGGTATCTGAGCATTGAAATTAGTTCTCTGAATTTCAACACTGTTTTATTAGTTGTAGAGTTCATTGTGGTTTGGATGTGGATTTACTTAGATGTTATTATTAAATTGTAAATTAAATTATGTGCAACAAGCTTTCGTTTTAGATTAAGTTTATATACGATATATATACGAAATACTGTCCAATAATTTAAAAGGCTCGCTGGCGGTCACGGCAAAGCCTTACTAATTTAAGAGGCTTCTAGTCAGTCAATACAATGGTTGTTATGAGAGACTGTAAACATTGGACCCGAAACTTTGGTTTGTTTGATAAAAAATATACGCCATTTACATCTGAAAAAATTCATTTATTATAAAACGTGCCAAACGACGCAAAAATTGCCTGGTCTCAAACTAGGGAATTCTGTGAGTATCAGAATAACAGAATCCAGTCTAGGGCACTTCGCAGAATACCCAGACCAGAAGCAATTTAGAAACTTCATTTTCCAATTAGGATCCATGGGATTCGAACCCGGGACTTTCCCACCCAGCGCCTACAGTATAAACCGTTAGGCTACCGGTCAGTGCTCAGTATGGTAAAGAACTCGCTGAAAATTAAGTAAGTAGGTAAGTAGCAGTAGCGCTCCTTGTGAAGCAGTTCGCCCAGGGAAGTACTGCCACCTTACGTATTTCTACCGCCAAGCAGTAATGTCAGCATTACTGTGTTCCGGTTTTGAAGGGTAAGGGTGCTGGTGAAATTACAGGCACATGGGACTTGTCAACTTATGTCTCAGGGTAACGGGCGCAGTTGCAGCGCCCATCAGATCTTTGCGATTTAAAGTTCTGTGTGGCACTGCATCTGTTATGGACTGGCATATAGCTTACCATCGCCTGATGGTAAGCACGACTTGTTTGTCCCGTCACGTGATATCATACGAAAAAAAACACATTTATAAAATAGACCTGTGTACCGTACGTTATTTATTTCTATTGCATTATAATTAAAAAAAAATCTCCTTAATGGCATTCCTATCGTACAATGGTACTAAATCAAAGTCTACCCACACAACTTTCCTCACAAAATACGTTTACATTCGTCAACTTCCTTCGTTTACTTAAGTTGTAACAGTAAATTTCTCTGATTAATACTTTTTTATCATTTAGTGAGATGTAAAATTGGATTTTTATTTTTTTTTTCTGTGGAGATTGATCGCTGAGGTATGGAGATGAGGTACGTTTTTTAACATTATAATTTTCACGCTCGTTAGTTTGTTAATGCAAATAAAAGTTTACCAAAGAATGTTAGATATAAGGTGAATATTAAAAATGACGTTTTACCAAAATTCAAATGATTTTTTTATTTCAAAAACAGTATTGTATTCAGTCTTTATGATTGAAACTTCTAGTAGCTTTTAGTTCCTTGTGAAAGAGTTCGTTCAGGGAAGTACTGCCACGTTACCTATTTCTGCTCTAAGCATTGACTTACAAATAAATGGACGACGGGTCTAATACAAAAACCACGAAAAAATGTCCCAAGTCAACCTATTTAAACGTAGTGACATGTAAAGGAATATGAAAAAGCTAAAACGTTGAATTTAAATGTAATGTCATCGCAGTACTGTCTAATTTTGCTTGCTTCGCTGTCAGTCGAACAAACGAAGACTAAAGCGTGAATGACGCTCTGTATACGATTTTAACGCCCTATAAGTTCGGACGCTTTTTAGTGCGGACCCGACGTCCATAGAATTGTAAGTCAATAGCTTTAAGCAATAATGTAAAAAAATACTGCGTTTCGGATTTGAAGTGTAAGGCAATGCTGGTGAAATCACGGTCACATGAGACCTGCGAACAGGTGCACTGAGATAATTGAGGTCAGAAATCACCGTGTTTAATAACAGTCGAGGTTACAGTTTAATAATATTTGGTGAAATTACAGGGACATTGTGACTTTTCAACTTATGTTTCAGGGAGACGGGCGTAGCGGCAGTGCTTCTTAGATCTTTGTGATTTAAAGTTCTGAGTGGTGTGCAACTGTTATGGACAGGCGTGTCGCTTACTACCAGGCGCACGACTCGTTTGTCCCGTCACTTGGTAGCATAAAAAAAAATTAGACCGGCTATGCGTCACTTTTCTCACTAAATGTCGTATTCGCTACTTATGTCGTATATAAGCTGTCGCAGCTTTACTTAGTGTTTTGAACAGTAAGAATTTAATTTCTTTAAAAGCACGTTGAGTAGCATTTTGTTTGATTTTTTAAAATGTAACGATCAAACCACAGCCGGTTTTTGTTGTACCGTTGGTGGCCCAGATTAAAATTTTTCTTCTATTTCTCAATAAATATCTAAGTAAGATGTTTGATCCTGTTTAGCTATCAAAAACTAATATTCTTCAGTATCATATGTCGACCAATTCTTAGACATGAATATGATCACATTATTTGAACCAGTTTGACATTTTGAGCTGCAGCTCATACATAATAAAATAACATGATTTGAGGTTTTAACTAATCTGGTTTTATTTATAACTCGTTTATGTTAATTTTTAGTGTTAAGGGTATGTCTGATGTTTACGCCTTGCCGTTTTTTGTTTGGTGTACATCTGTATAAAGGATAATGAAAGCAGTAATTATTCTACATTTAACAAAGTAGTCTCTAGCAGAACATTTATGGATATACGGTATAATTTGTTCTTTTTCACGTGCACCGTCCATCCACCGAACATCTATGAGAAATCTATGAAAGTATTTCATCACCAAGTTAAATGCTTTTACAGCTACCAACCCCTACTAGAGATGTCGCTATTCACTGATTTAAATTGTAATTATTTATGATTTCAAATGACGGGAACAGTTGCAATATCATTCAAAGTTTTAATGATTTACACATTCCAAAGATTCGTATGAAACCCTACGCTTCCACACTTATATGGCGAACGACTATGGAGTGGAATTCCTTGCCTGCAGAACTGAACTCTACAACTTGTTACTTTTCTAGGCGAGAGTGAATAGACGTAATTTAGGTGTGCATCGTCGACCTATTGTCACTTTCCATCAAGTGAGTTGGAGGTCAAATGCACATTTATTCTGTCATCAAAAAAATCGCAAAGATTTGCGGGGTATTGCCTACAGTGCCCATCACTCTGAGACATAAAATTGACAAAACTCAAGCGCCTATAGTTTCACCGAAACCCTTACCCTTATAAACCAGAAGCAGCAGCAGAAATAGTTACGGTGGCAGTACTTCCCTAGGCACCATAAAAAAGCATAAAAATAAAACTACATTATATTGAAATAATTTCATACCAAATTTGAGTTTTACAACTCATTTGTGTCCAAGTTCCAAACTACCTCCAAAAATGGTGTACGGCACTTAATATTCCCTGAACAGTAATTTTGTCGTATTAAAGTTTTGTAACCCGCAATTAACTAGGCGTTTTGTAAAAAGTCTCATTTATGAGCTTATCGCATTCACGGTAATTACGTTTTCTTTATAGATTTGAGTTGAAATAAATGTACGACGATATTATTCAATATCTTTTCATCATTAAAAAAAATTAAAACCGGGCGATGTGGTGAACTTACGGACGGGGGT